CTTTCTCCTTCTAAATTTATCTTACTCAATTTTACTTCTCGAATCAAATCTTCGCTCCCTAATCTTCTCCATTAGTGCTAATACTTCTTTTATTGTTATCACTCTTGGATTTGAAATGACAGTTGCGTCTCTGTGCTGATGTGGTATGACAACCTTAACTGATGTACTTACGTACGAAGTTCTGCGTTGTATATGTCTGTCTATATTGTCAAATTGGTCATGACTTGACACTAAGCGTATTGTATTCGCTTATAGAGATGACCACAGTCAGGTTACGCATACTAACTTTTTCTGGGATCGACAAGCCTTCACTTGGAATCCTTATGGCCAAAAGAAAAGAGAAAGGCTATAAAATATATTACACCAAGAAATGGAAACAAACGAGATAAGAATACAAAACTATTGGATAGAACTAGAAAGGAATTCTTAGGACAGAGTAGGTTGGAGAATACTAGTCGGAGACCTATGTTACACTAGACGTAATAGGCGTAACGGGCGTAAGTAAGTAAGTAAGTAAGTAAGTAAGTAAGTCTTAGATCAACACAGTTGTTTGTGTTTCTTTGAGAATTGAACTCAATTAGGTATGAAAAATAGAGATTGATCATGTAGGCAGTAGTTTTAAAAGTTTTGAAACAGAATGTTAGAAGGAATAGACTGATTTTTTTTTCAATATACACAGTTAAATGTATATCATTTATACTCTGATAAAATCTTGAACAAAGATTTATTATTTTATTTGATACTTTGTTGAGTTCCGCCTAGACCGCCTCCACGGTTACTGTCGGTCGGAAGGTCAGATAAAGGAGAAGGATTGGTCATGGGGATCACGACCGCGATCCAGTAGAAATCCAACCCGCTTTAAAAACAGCTAACAGAAAGAGAATACGCTAGTCCGCAGCCTATGCTCAATTAGGAGTAACAGGCGTAGTCAGTCAATCAGTCAGTCAGATGTAACGTAGAACTTCGTACGTAAGTACATCAGTTCATGTTGCCATACGACATCAGCACAGAGATGTAATTGTCAATTCAAATCCAATAGTAGAAGAGGTAGTAAAGGTATTAGAAGTAATTGGAGAGATTAGGATTAGAAGATATTATTCAAGAAGTATGATTTAATGAGAAAGGTTTAGAAAGTCAAAACTAGAGGTGTTGAAGAATCCAGAAGATTAGGATTTGAGAGAACGCAAGAATGGATGCACAGGCTCCATTGCGAACGGTTTTGAGCCATGTCATTTAGGGTATCTAACCATCGATTATTATCATCTCGCGGACCCCAACCAGGTAGTCGACATCTACCATCATGACTCAGTCCACTTGTCAATGACTTCATGGATTTGTGCCATGTTTTGGTTTGGCCGCCTCTAACTTTCCTCCAACCTATTCCTACACTACAAAACAAAGCTCGTCGAGGCAGTCGGTGGTTGGGCATACGCAACACATGTCCCAATCACCTCAACTGATGAAGTGTCACTACTGCGTCTATTGATCTGCCATTCTTACCTAGCACCCGTTTCCTAATAACAGCGTTACTCACTCCGGTGTCCCACGATATACGAGCAATGCTTCGAAGACACCTATGATCGAAAACCAGTAACCTACGAATATCTTCTACTCTCACTGGCCATGTTTCACAGCCATAAAGTAAGACGGAGCGGACTACTGCACAGTACACTCGTCCTTTAGTCAGCAAACGGATGTCTCGCCTTCTCCATAAGTGACGCAGGTTGGCAAAAGCCAATCGAGCCTTCTGTATCCGAGCTGAGATTTCGTCAGTCACCAGGCCATCAGCACTGATGAGACTCCACATATAAGTGAAGCGGTCTACACGTTCGACTACTTCACTCCCTAACATGCATAAGTAAGTAAGTAATGCTAGTTGAAAAGTTTGCTTTTGAAACATGTCTAATTGCAAATTATTTACTCAACCACTAAGACAATATTTATGTTTACAAAAAATGTTCATTTTAATGTTGACGTTTTTGTCTACTGTTACTTGAAATAACAAGAATTGAAAAATTTTCAAATATCTCATTCAAAGTTATAAGGATTTTTTGTTTACTAAGAACAATTTCATACTATTTCATACAAAAATTCAGTGAAAATTATCTAATGTTTACAAAGTACATGAATTTTGGTTATTTGGAATTCGTGTATTTGAATACTGTTCAAATCAAGGTTTCTTTCAATTTGAAAATACGATAAATAATGTTGAAACTGTGATTTGGATAATGAAATATGCATTTTATCGTACAAAATTTTAATAAATGAAGTATATTAAACCTTTAACTTTTAATGTGCAATATCTGTCAGTATTTATCAAGGTTTATCCTAGTTAAGGATACAAAAAATAGACGAGTTTCAGTAGTTATATTGTGGTGCGAGCTACTTATAAGTAGTATATGACGTGAGTGTCAACGTAATGTCTGGCAGCGGAAGATGGGGGAAGATCAAGAAAGGAAGAGTTAGAAGAACACAATGGAATTTGTATGAAACGCATGAATAGTGACAATGGATTGATGTTGTTTGCAACAGGAACAGTCCAGTTCGATAGGCTGGACTGATATTTTGCAAATTAACGATTTACGATATGGTTTTCCTATTTTACTGAGTAACTCTGTAATTTCAGGTAAATATAATTTGGTTGTCCTCACCTGTGTTCTTCTTCACTACAAGATGACCTTTATCAAGGTGAAATATTTTACCCAAACTGCTCACTTAATGGCAATTTTATAAAAAATGAATAATTTTTAATTTAAATTTTCTGTTTCTTACACATACCCAAGTGAATCCGATCGATGAAATGCCGTCAGCCAGTATATCAGCACATATTGAAGTGTACGAACAACCACAAGGAAAATAGGCATGAAAATGTGGATGTTGCCAATGTGTCACCTGAAATAATAATTTACATAAAGCACCATGAAAGATATTGTCAATCAATGATAAGAAAGTGTTTTGAATTTTTATTTTTAGTGATTATACATTGAAGCGTAACTGATTTCAGGTTGGATTAAAAATTTGTGACTGATAGAAGTCTAGTAATCAAGTTTAGGTGGGTTTTGTTATGAGTGGATTGCAGATAATAAGCAACAAACTCTTCACAGTCTAGGGTTTTATCTGGACGTATCTTGTATAGTTTAGTGGCGGTTTATATGACTAGGACAACACTGAATGATACTGTTTAGAACTAGAGGTGAAGAACATACGCCTTCTAGAAAGAATACCAACTAGTACGAATCTTGAACTGATAACAACTTCTTATTGTCTCTAATCACATCATATTAACATTTGAAAATAGTTGTGAAAATGAGCGCATTTTCTAAATTTTGATTATTGTACTATAGAACTAAGAATTATAATTCTAGGGGCACCCATTCATATTTTAAATTGTAACTCTTGTCTTCTTTAAAATAGGCATCAAATATTCACCGCTATATTTGATGATATCTAGATTACATGGGCAAGAAGACGAACAGTGTTGCCGCATCCTCTGAGGCATTAGGTCCCAGCATACACATGAGAAACGATAAGATCCTTCGATAGGACACAACATGCACCAGCTAAATCTCATATGACAGGGAAGCTTTAAGGAGTGTAGCAACCATTACATATATGAGCAGCATCACCAACAAGCAAGGTGGATTTTATGCAGATTTGAAGGCGCGCATCGGAAAATTAAGAGAAGAATTTCTACTAGTGAAGAACATCTTAAACTCAAGAACTATCAACCAACATCAAAGTAAGATTACTTGATATAAAAGTCAAAACAGTTTTACTGTATGAAGCAGAAACTTAGAAAACTGTCAGAGCTATCATCCACAAGATACAAGTATATATTAACAGTTGTCTACACAAAATACTTCGCATCGATTGGCCAGATACTATCAGTAATAACCTACTATGGGAGAGAACAAACCAGATACCAGTTGAGGAAGAAATTAGATAAAAGCTTTGAACGTGTGTGTGGCACACATTGAGGAACATACCCAACTGTGTTACAAGACAAACCTTCACTTGGAATTCTCAAAGTCACAGGAGAGGAGGGGAAGATCGAAGAACATACTACACTGAGATCATATATATAAGTCAGAACGATTCATTTTCATTCTTAGTTACATTTTCCCTTCTGTAAATTTTGAAACTATTAATTACAAAAGATGATATACAATCAGGTGTAGAACTTTATTACTAAATCCTATAGAATAGACAGAATTTGGATTGCAGTGGAATCCAATATGTGTGTTTCGTTGTCCAATTTAGGACTTGTCAGCTGGATATATCTGCATGAGAGAATTGAAGTTCATTTCGAGAATCAAACTATGTATTGCGTTATTCACTTGTCTATTGAGTCCGATGAACCACTTAATAGTGCAATTTGAAATGGTTTAGATCATTCCGTTGTTGATATTTTGACTGCGAATCGATCGCTCGTGTTGGATTCCACTGTCAGTCATAAAACCAGTCATTCCAAATCAACTTAAGTGATAATGTCTTTTTTTCGAGACATGCCGCATAGAGTGATGAAACGCCAGCGAAAAACGATCAAATTTCAGTCAGAAATATCAACAGAAATGGACTCATCCAAACTATTTTGAAATTAAATTAAATTTTACTACTAGGCATCACTTGTCTGTCAACGCCAGAGTCAAAAGAAAAGAGGACGGAGATAAAAATGAGAAGAATGAACAAAAGTTGGACAGAAGAGGAAAGGGAATCTCAGGACAGAGTAGGTTGGAGAATACTAGTCGGCGGCCAATGCTTCATTGAGCGTAACAGGTGAAAATAAGTAAGTAATTAAATGCATAGGTAAGTAAGTAATTAAATGCATAGGTAAGTAAGTAAGTAAATGCATAGTAATTACGTGTGATTAGATTACTACATTTTAGCTAAAGCAGAACACGGATTAAATCAAGATCTTGTCAGATTTCGAGTAGGTGGAGATAAACATAAAAGATGTCAATGTTTATTGGCAGTTGTTTACAAAAAATATTTCACACCCATTGACTAGACACTATATCAGCAAAAACCTAATGTGTGTGAGAAGTTAAATAAAAGCGTTGAATGGTGGAGAAAACTTGTAGCTCAGGTGAATAATTGTGGTGGTGTTTCGTTCTCTGATCTGGTTGTTTTGGTTGTAGAGCTTTCATTGTTCTTCTTCTGAACAACATCATCAGCACAAAGTTCGAATGCTTCACTTCTATCTGAAGTTTGTGCTGATGATGTTGTTCAGAAGAAGAACAATGAAAGCTCTACAACCAAAACAACAAGCTCAGAGAACGAAACACCACCACAAAAGCGTTGACTGTGTATAGGAAACACATTGTGGAAAGCACACAACTGCGTCACAAGCCAAGCCCTTAAGGTCAAACGGAAAGAGGCGGAACAAAGAATACATCAACCCGATAAAAGCAGACAGTCATGAGAAGAATGGACATCATTTAGATAGAACTGGAAAGGAAGACCGAGGAATGCTGGTCGGTGGCCTATGCTTCATTGTGGGTAACAGGCGCAGGCAAGTAAGTAAGTTAGTAAGTATTAATCTTTCTTACACTAAACACTACGAAGACATTGATAAGCCAGCCGAAAAGCATACAGAAAGAAAAATAGTGGCCATCATGGATGATGACAGCGTAAATAGTAATTCCAGTCACATTCTGATTGGAGCAACGACGTACAGAGTCATCATGGATACTGAATGACAGCGGAGTTCATCCCCAGTCGTTTATAATTCATGAATACAAAAAAATGCATAAGTTTCATATTCATTCCGGACTCGAAATTTGACATTTGAAAATGCGTAAATAATTGTTCAGTTTTAAAGAAGTTCGTATCATATATTGTAGAGAAAACCAAGTAGCTACTTAATTTAAGTCTCTTATATTCGCTAATTTCAGTCTCAGTCTTAAGCACACAAAAGTTTAAAGTATTGGTCATCTATAATCAAAGAGTTCTCTTAAAAAGATTAATAGTACTGCATAGTTGTCAATGATTTCATTGGCAGATTTAGGCAAATCGCCTTTACATTACGGGGTTGTGAAGATTGTTAAGTTACACATATTTGAAAACATGAATCGATCACAGTTAGACCACCATTAGAAACCTGGAAGCACTGGATCACCGTTTCGTCCTGTTATGGGACTCCTCAGCAGTGCGCATCGACGACTCCTGCACCTCGCAGGATTCCAAAGCAGGACCTTCGGTATAGTGCGCGAACGCCCTAACCTGTGGACCACTGAGCCGGTATCCAACGGGTGCAGGAGTCGTGGATGCGCACTGCTGAGGAGTCACATACCAGGACGAAACGGCCGTCCAGTGCTTCCAGGTTTCTAATGGTGGTCTAACTGTGATCGATTCATGGTTTCAAAAATATGTAAACTGCCTTTAAACACTCAGTACTCCTAAAAAAATTCAAAATTATACTGAAGAATGTCGATTTGGCTACTTTCGGTAATCATGTACTCTATCTCTACGATAATTATTCAATTATGGCGCGGAATCCATTTCAAAAAACATCAAAAATTAACAGTTTATTGAACCATTTTTTAATAACTTACCCCTGGCATAATCATACTTTCTACATCATTCATAATATCTTCCCAACTTTCCGGTTCATTTGGTGCTTCGTTCGGTAGTAATTTCGCCAAATAACCAGGACGTATGTTGGGAAACACTTTTCGTTCATGAATATTTTCTAAATAATTCGCAACATATTGAATCATTTGACTGCCATATTGACGAAATTCATTATGATTTAGAAATATATCTGAATGCATAAATATGAAGAAAGATATAAAGAAATTTTTGCACAAAGATAATTGTGTTTTTAGAAAAAAATTTGTTACTTGTTCTCGTTACTATAAAATTCTGTATTATAAATCTTGAAAAGAATAGTACCTGAATCAAGCATTTAGATGGTGCAGTTTTTCAAAGTAACACTTTTCAAACGCACAATGTTGATCATTTCAACTGGTGACGTGTTTTTATGGAGTTATTAGTAGTAGTAGTAGTAGTGTTAATAGTAGTATTAGTAAGTGTATGATGATTGACAAACTATTATTAACAAGTGCCAATATATATATATACATATTTACATCACTAGTGGCTAATCAATACAGAACAAGTGAAAACATGCATTTTGTTATGCATATTTTCTCTATTACTAGCCAAAATGTACCAGTAATAGTAATAATAATCATAGTAATAATAATAATGATAGATTTTTTAAATGTCTATCATATTGAGGACAATTAGATCAAAGAACTCACAAATCAAAACAGCTAGTTGACCAAATTTAGTCATGAATATTGATGATGATCAAAATACGAATGTTTATGAATAATTTGAGCTTATAAACATTTTTTTTCTCAATTTGTATCGATAAATAGATACATTGTATTTTTATTTAGAGTTACATAGATTGTTGTATATCACAGTTAGTCAGTCAGTCAGATGCAACGTAGAACCTCGTACGTAAGTACATCAGTTCATGTTGCCATAACACATTCACACACAGAGATTCAACTGTCAATTCAAATCCAATAGTAGAAGAGATAGTAAAGGAATTAGAATTAATCGGAGAGGTTAGGATTAGAAGATATTAATTCAAGAAGTATGATTCAGTGAGAAAAGTTTAGAAAGTCAAAATTAGAGGTGTTGAAGAATCCAGAAGATTAGGATTTGAGAGAACACAAAGAATAAATGCACCCTTCCCATTGCAAACGGTTTTGAGCCATGTAATTCAAGGTATCTAACCATCGATTATTATCATCTCGCGGACCCTAACCAGGTAGACGATAACTACCGACATGTCTCAGTCCACTTGTCAATGACTTCATGGATTTCTGTCATGTTTTGATTTGGCCGCCCCTAGCTTTCTTCTAACCTATTCCTACACTTTAAAACAAAGCTCGTCGAGGCAGTCTGTGGTTAGGCATACGCAGCACATGTCCCAACCACCTCAACTAATGAAGTTTCACCACTTCATCTATTGATCTGCCATTCTTACCTAGTACCCGTTTCCTAATATCGACGTTGCTCACTCGGTTGTCCCAGGATATACGAGCAATGCTTATGTTGTATATCACAGAAATCATGTATCAATCATTAGGAGCCTGGAGGTACTGGACAGCAGTTTCGTCCCGGTGTTGGACTCATCAGCAGTAATTATGGAAGACAAATAGATGAAGTCACGCAAATTCCCTAGATTGATCAGAGTTAGATATTAACACGATTGGATGCAGACCTAGAGGTTAGCCGTTCACGAGCAAGACCAAAGGTCACGGAGTTCGATTCTTGTGAGTAGCAGAAGATGTGGATGCTCACTGTTGATGAGTCGCATACCATAACCGAATGACCGTCTGGTGCTTTCAGGTTTCTAATGGTGGTTGTCTAACAATGACTCATTCATGATTTCAGCAAAATATATTGATTAATTTTTAATATCGATTAAAATCTGTCACATAACATAATACAAATCGATTTTGGTGAATTATTCTCTAATTCGAACCACATGTGTTAATTTCCCCAGACTGAGAAAAGTTGAATAGGAGAAATTGTATGTGCTAATGATTATATCGAAGTTCTAAAAATTCATTATCGAAAAATAAATTTACTATCAATGCAACATCATATCACTGTTATTGATGAACAAATCGATGGAGTATAGGCCACCGACCAGCGAATTAATTTTCTGGTTAGCAAGTTGGATTTCTACTAGATAGGCTCGCCAACCCGACGCCGAACTCTCCTGCTTTTATCGTGGCTTAGAACTGACAGTAACCTTAGAAGGGCTCTAGGTCGAGTTAGCCGAGAAATATAGAAAATTTCAATTCTATTTGTTCTGTTATATAGCTACACTGAATTGTTTAGTCATACTGCTCAATAGCCTTGGTAATATTACACAATGCCGCTTGCTATCTCTTTCACACCTCCTACTCTTTATGGAGTATGAGCCACTGACCAGCAGCTATCGGTAATGTATTATTGAAAGCTTTAAACAGAAAAATCAATATAAATTAGTCAGATGTTGGCTTCTTTTCGTGTTCACCTTATGAGCAATGTTGAACTCTTTTATATGTATGTTTGTGTTGACATTGTCATCTGATTCGATTAAAATATCTATCTATCTTTTACAAGACATACACGTATAGAAAATGATTGATTCACGTAGTTTGAATCAAAGAATCAAAGATGATTTGTCTGATCACGTTGGTTGTGCACATGATCGCTTGAAATAAATACAATTTAAACACAAAATTAATGTATGTGTTATATGACTTTTTAATTTATAACCATGTAAGCTAAGATTTATTTAGATGAATTGGTTATAACACTTGAATTGGAATAATTTTCGGTCATAAATCATGGTGGCTACACTAACCAGTAGGTGTGAAATAGATTACTACTTATTTAGATGACGTTATTCTATAGTGTACAGCATAAATAAGGGCATAAATTAGTTTCTAATAAAAATGTCAATCAAATTTTCATGACTACTTGGTTTGTTTTATTTTGTGAATGTGATTTTATTTTTATTTGAGAATTGTTTAAAATTAATTTATGATCTAATCTGTTCTTATATTTGTACTTTTCGTAAAACATAATAAATTTTTAGTGATTAAGAAAATTCTCATTAGATGTAAATAACTCTGACGTTCTATTCAGTGTACTACTTAATTTCACAAAATTATCAACAGTGACATGTAGATACATTCAGTTGGAGATGGGTCGTGAATTAAGATGAAACACAGTTGTACGGATTCGTTGGCCAGACACCATCAGCAACAACGAACTGTGGGAGAGAACAAGTCAGATTCCAGTGGAGGAGGAAATCAGGAAGAAGCGGTGGAAGTGGATAGGACACACTACGAAAAGCACCCAACTGCGTCACGAGACAAGCCCTCACATGGAACCCTCAATGCAAAAGGAAAAGAGGAAGGCCAAGGAACACACTACGCCGAGAAATAGAGAAAGATATGAGAGGAATGAACAAACATTGGACAGAACTGGAGAGAGAAGCCCAGGACAGAGTTGGTTGGAGAAAACTGGTGGGCGGCCTATGCTCCATTGGGGGTAACAGGCGTAAGTAAGTAAGTAAGTAAGTACAGTTGTACGACACACACCACCAGCCAAGCCATATTCCAACCTCATTTGTACAAGATGGCTCATATGCTAACGAAGATGGATCAAATTTCAGTCACAAAATTATGGCCAGTGAAATAATTCAAACTGTTTCAACTTGAAATTTTTCCTAAAGTGATTTTATTTTTTGGAGAGTTTATTGATACTGTTCTAATGTCTACAAAAGTTCAATTGTACGACGAAAAATAACGTTTTTATTTTTCACTTATCAAAGTCATAGAAATTAAGGGGTATTTTATTGAGAAAAAAATAATTATTTTTTTAAGGAAATTCATTGTCGAAATTCAGAAAAACATTTTTGTTCATTTATTCTGAATTAGTTAACTGTAGCAAAATATTTCAGCTAACGATTCAAGTCCAAAGTGTCTTACTATCTTTCTTCGATACACTACACTTGACTGAGATCGTTTCTGAGCCAACCTTAGTATATCAAGTCATTTTTAGGCGGATATAGAGTTATTCTAAAGTCAGCTAAAGACTACAATTTATACAAATGTATATTTTATAAAATTACATAATATACTACTTACCCATTATTATTATCAGTATGTAACATACGAATACAATTGGCTATCAATCGAATGATCAAAAAATGAATGAGTTGATGAGAGTATTTATAGTTTACTTTTCATGTCATCGTGTAGATTAATTGTGTTGTTTTTCGGTAATATATATACGCATATATATATATCAATTTCTCTATGTTCAACTCTCACACACACACACTCTCTCTCTCTCTCTACGTGTACATGTCATTTTTTACATTTCCTTGTTTTAATGATAACTGTTAACTTTTATAAACCGATTTTGACAAATAAAGTCGCAGTGGTCGGTAATGATAATAGTTGTGAAATATGATAAGAACAAGTATTGATTTTAACAAATCTGACAAATCAGATTACAATAAAGAATGACACACACTTGAATTTTTCAGCACGTACAGTACAATTTAATTGATTAGTTTTCTAAGCAGTAAAAACTATACAATTGCACAGTCATTGTCAACTCATACCGACTTTGTACTACAACACTTACCACTTCTCTATGGAAACTTCTCACTGGGAATGATTATTTACCTACATGGTGGTTTTTCAATTCAATTCATCGACATTCACCGCATTATTTAAATCATTTTTTTCTTGTTGTAAAATAAAGGAAATTGAAAACATGTTCCTTTTTACATAATTAAAAAAAAATATTTTTCAAAAACCGATTATATATTTATTTGTAATAAGTTTATTTCGACTATATTCACCATGAGAATTAAAACCTAATTCGGTATACAGTTTTATTGTTTACTGTTCCTTATGATTCTTTCTTGAGTTTTTGAGAAAAGATTTTCCAGTGTTACAGCGGATCCAGAAGGCAGTTAGTCGGTAAAGTGTTAAGTGAATGCTTTTGTCAGTCAGATGCAACGTAGAACTTTGTACGTAAGTACATCAGTTCATGTCGCCATACCGCATCAGCACAGAGATATAATTGTCAATTCAAATCCAATAGTAGTAGAGGTAGTAAGGGAATTAGAAGTAATCGGAGAGGTTAGGATTAGAAGATATTATTCAAGAAATATGATTCAGTGAGGTA